AGCCTGGCACCAAAGAAGATGAAATTCTTCTTTAAACGCTACCTGGATTATGAGAAGAAATTTGGTACCACAGAAAGTGTCCTGGCTGTTAAAAGAGCAGCACTTGAGTATGTGGAGACCAAGAGTTCCCGTGCTGACACCTAAGTACAGCACAAGTAGAAGCAGACTCGGCTCTCCATGCAGTGCGGGAGCTGAGAGGTGTGGAGTTCTGCCATGAATGTCCATGGACAGTCAGTTTCTGGAGACTGTTGGTCTATGACCAAACCAAACTGGAAAGAACAAACAATCAAAGGAAAAGATTGACAAGTGTTTGCAGCTTTGTCCAGATGTTACAAACAATCCTAGTCTGTTGATGACTTTGAAGACATTATAAAACAGTCTATATTTAAAAACATCAATACAAACATCAGCAATACTTGTTCTACTTTCCTGGGGAAACGGTGCAATTATGACCCACTATTTTTGAAGTACAGCGATGTCTTATAAATTGGTTTCTCTCTGTCAAGATGGCAGAGAAGATTCTTGCCTTTTGGCTGAATTAACACTTTGAAAGATTTTATTTCAGGTGCCTTTGTGCTCCTAGAAATTGGCAGAGCAACACAAAATTGTGGCATAGTTGAGGTTGGAGAGGACCTCTGGAGATCATCTGGTTCAAACTCCTGCTTAAAGCAGGGGTCGGCTAGACTAGGTTTCTCGGGACCGTGTCCAGTTTGGTTTTGATTTCTCCAAGGACTGAGACTCCACAGCCTCTCTGGGCAACCTGTTCCAGTGTTTTGACTACATTCACAGTAAAAAAAGTGTTTTCTTACATTTGAAATGGAATTTCTTGTATTTCAATTTGTGCCCGTTTCATCTTGTCCTGTCACTGAGCACCACTAAGAAGAGTCTGGTTCCACCTTTTTACATCCCCATGTCAGGTATTTATACATGTGGATAAGATCCACCTTGAGCTTTCTCCTCAGATTGAGCAGCTACAGCTCTCTCAGCCTTTCCTTGTATGATGGATGCTCCAGTTCTATAATAATTTTCCTGTCCCTCTGCTGGACTTGCTCCAGTAAGCCTGTATCTGTCCTGTACTGAGGAGCCCGGTACCTGACACATCACCCCAGATGTCTGACCACTGCAGAGTAGAGGGGAAGGATGACCTCCCTCGATCTGCTGGCGATGCTCTTCCTAATGCAGCCCAGAATGTGCTTGTCCTCCTCAGCTGAAAGGTCATATGCCTTTGAAGCCCGTAGCATCCAGTTGCGATGGATCCGCTGACACAACCACTGTTGTAACAAGTTGCCAGGGACTGATGACAGAAAAAATAGCGATTTTCAGCAGTGTTGTCTCTTAAGAGAAATCAGTGAAGTCAAAGAAAATAGTGCTTTTTGTGTGCTGAAAAAAAGCCATTCCTTCTGCTTGGAAAAAGCTCGGTATCTTGGCTACTTACATAGGCTCTGTCACTGGTGTTGGTGCCTTATGCTCTGTATGCTTGTAACTGTCCAGTAAGATGTGGGTGTGATCATCCACGTGTCTTACAGATGAAGAACTGAAGGCAAGGGGAAAAGCGGGGTGTGCAAACAGGTGTGATTATCCAGTGTAGGCGCTGGTGAGTGTGTGTCCAGCTTTGAAATACCAAATTTGAAGAATCTTACTTGTAGGTACTCTGAACTCAAAACTGGAGCTCTGCAGGACCCAGCTCTTTTGCGTCTGTGAATGCCCAGTGTTGGCAAGGCTGAATAATTCACCATTTAATTCATTCCCAAGTCTGTTGGGATCCAGAAACAAGTCATTTCACTTCTTACCCCCAGGGAGAGCAGGATGCTGTGCTCGGATTTTGCTTAGTGCTCTTCTAGAGGAGGAGACTGCTTGTAACATCCAGTAGCAGCTGCTGCTTTTTTTAAGAACACAGCTGCAATGGTGGTGCATTTTTCTTTTGGATTAATTAGTTACATAATAGAATACGTAAATAAGCATTTCAGTAGAAACCAAGATCCCTTTGAGGTATTGTTTCTTCTTGACTACTGGGGCTATTATAGTCTTTACAGTAGTCAGCAGGGAAAATGAAAGACGTGTGTGTAACTCTCCATACTGGAGGAGCCTGGTTTGAACCCATCTTGCTGCTGGAAGGTGTGCTGTAACTGGAAACCTGTAGGCTGCTCTGCAGTGGGATGGTTTTCTGCCTCTGGAGGAAACAGAGTGTGAGCTCGCAGTCTGTGTGATCTGGCACGTTGGGAAGACGGGCAGCTCGATTTCTCTCTTGGCATTTTGGTGTGAAGCCTAGCTGGTTGCTTGTGCTGGTGTGTAAAACCACGTGGGTTAATGTCCCTCTGCTCAGCATCGTCACTGGTGGCAGGTGAGCGACAGGGACAGCAGGGATGTTGGTGAAGGTGCTGATGGGCTGTGAGGGCCAGAAGCCCACGGCTGTCTCAGCAGGGGCCCTGCTTAGGGCAGCAGAGGAGAGGAGGAAAAAAGAATCCCTTCAATTGCAAACAAGTATTTCTGAGTGCAGTGGCTTGCTCCACTCCCCACTGTCAGCTGTCCACTCAAACATGCCTCTCCAACAAGAGGGAGGGAAAAGCAGACAAGCTGGACAAGCCCCTAGCCCATCCCAGCACATGGACAGTGTCTGGAGTTCATGGAGAAGGGAAGGGAGGTAAACGGAGCAGAAGCTGGTTTGTGCTCATGGTTTATTCCTGGGATAAACAAATCCATTCACAAGCATTATGTGTCTTGGCCCTTTCCTTCAAAGGAGGGAAGGGGAGGAGAAGGAACTGGAGGTGGTTCAAAGGAACAACTAGGACTATCAAGGAGGAAGGCAGGGGAAGTAAGGGAAGCAAGAGGAATGCTGCTTTGTTTCAGCAAGTTACCTTGCATCTGCTGACCTGCGTGCGGGGGTGGCATATGTGTCTGCGTGTTTGCACTTGAGGGCCAATGAGAAGAAATGCAAACGAACTGTCTTTCATCTCAAACTGATGCAATTTCATTTAACTGGCATCTGATTGTTCCTGCAGATTAGTTGGTGGTGAGGCTGGGAGCCAAGCCTTCTCACAAATCAAGGCAAATCTGTAGAGAAGCTGAACAGGGATCCTGGGATGCCTTGCCAATTAAGTGGTGTTCCAGCCTCTTTATGCGAGGGAATACCCTCCATCTCTTTCTTGCAAGGGGACATATTTGTAAAAACGTTTCTAAATACATTTTCTATCCTTTGCTGCAGTTGTGTATCCCGATGTACAAGATCTGTGCTACTCGTTGCAAGGATAACTAAAAATCAGTGTTTCTAACTTGTGATACATGGTAATACTTTAAAACTTTGCATCCTGGAGTCATCTGGATAGGAGAGGATCTGAAAGTTTAATAGAAAGAAAAAATAAGTTCCTAGTCCTTGGGTTCAAAGAGAATGTTAAAATATGTTTCTTGTGCCCCCCTGAAAAAAACTCAAAGGCAATGAAAAATACTTAATAATTTATTTCAAATCTCTTTGTGTGTAAGCCCCTCTGACTTCTGTGGGTTTGAGTAAATTTTTGAACAATTTAAGGCTTTTCAATAAACAGCACAGTGTAAAAGAAAGTTGTACCTATAAAGAAATGGTGCAAGCAGGAAAAACACACTTCGCTGTCCTGCCAACTCTTGAAACTGTTGGGTACATAGGGCTGATCCTTGGGAGAAAAGGGACTGCGCGGTGCCTGCAGAGCAGCCTTGAAGCCATAGTCAGCACAGCATTGTGGTGAGGGAGGTAATTTTACACCTTTCTGGCTTTGCTTTCTCAGAGTATGGCCATGTCCATAAAAGAGACCCTCTGCTGCAGGGACCATTTAAGGCAGTGGAAAGAATTTGAGGAAGTTCAGTGGCAGAAAGGTAGGGAGAGGGCTGCTGCTCCCATCCCATTCCTATTGTCCCTGGTCACCGCAGGGCTGCAGTCCCACTGCAGCAGATGGGTGTGTGTAATGTGGTTGGTCTTTTGGCTGGCAACTTTCTCACCCCCTTTCCCTGGGAGAGAGATGCTCCATTAATACAGCTAACTAACAATATATACACTGTATACATATATATATATATGTATATATACATATATGTAAAACTAATTCTGGCTGAGGTCTTGCTGCAGCTCGCAACCCAAACAAGCAGGCGTCTCACCCGATGGTTGGATAAGAAATGCAATGAGCTGCATACAGCAGTTTTGCTTGCTGTGGGTACTGCTTCCTCCAGGCCTCTGCTGAGCCACCTCGCCTGAAAGCTATCCTGCTGATGGTGCAGTCTTCTGGGTTTATAAACTCATGGCTGTGTCCCTTTGGGCTCATTAGAAGTTGCCAGACACTTCAGTAAGAACAAAGGGGGTCTGGTGTCCTATCCAAATTCCAACCTGGTACACAGAGTGCCTTTCTGAATACCAGGAATATCGGTGATTCCTCCCGCCTTAGTCTCTCAGTTATTTAGCGTGCTGCTGTACTACTGACCTGTTCCTTCCTAGGTGCTATTGCATCCCCTTTACCACAGGAATTTACCCACTGCTTCTCTCTTTTCCCTGCGCCGTGAAGTCTGAAGTGCTCCAGGACCTGCCTGCTTAACAGGCACTGCACAACAGCGTAAGATGATACTGATGTCCATAAAACAGGTCAGTGTGCAGCGTGGCTGAGGCTAACCCTGCTGTGGGGAAGATGGCTGGGACTGCAGGAGTCACGGTTAGAAATGGCGTGCACACCTCTCGCTCCCTTGGGTTTCTGCTGGTGCATTAGACGGCAGGGTGCCCTGGCAGCCCAGAGGCAAGGTGTGTGTCTGCTCTTTCCTTCCCTCGTCTCTCTGGGAGCAGCAGTGAGGTGGTTGTCTCCAAAGGAGGAGTTCCCCAGCTCAGTGTATTGCTTATCAGTCTCTGCCTTGAGGCTGTTGATCCCTATTTACCCACTGAGAGAAGTAATCCTGCTGGGAGGAATATTCCCAGTGAATCCCTCAGCCGTGCACTGACAGTGAAGGGCCTGCCAGGTGGTCTGGGGAACCGCTTCCAGCACCTCTCTGTCTTAGGAAGCCAAAAAGAGCATTTCGTGGCCTTCTGGGCTTGGGCCATTCCCTTCCACCCCTTTGGCCCATTTGTGGAGCCGGCTGTAGAGGGGGAAGCCCTTGTTCTCCCGGTAGATGTAGACGCCTGTTATGGCGTTCCACTGGGGGCTCGGCTGGACGCCCTCCACCGGGAACTCCTGCACCAGCTCCTTCTCCTCCTTGTCCAGCGCCACGAAGCCGAAGAATTGCTTCACATTTGTGGCTGCCAGGAGAGCGGTACTGGGCCCAGTAAGCCTCCTGCCGGTAGCTCAGCGGTGAGCAGCAGTGCTTCAGGCACTTGGTGAGGAAAACCAAGACCGCAACGATGCCGATGAGCAGCCAGCCGAAAAGCTGAGAGAGAAGAGAGAGGCTGCGTTAGGACATGGCAAGGTGGTCTTACCCACTCCGTGTGGCTTTCTCGTTGGCGTGCCTACCTGGGACTCGTATCTCAGCCTCCGCGTCACCTCGTCCCTGAACTTGGTGAGGTTCGCCGGCACATCTTTACAGGGGAACCTGGACAGCACCTCGGCCCCATACTCTGCTGGGAACTTGTCCAGGGAGGACGGCCTGACAAACTCACTGAGGGCGCAAATGTAAGCCTCGCCACGCAGCAGTGAGATGACTGACCAGGTGACGGGCGCCACGGCTGCCCGGCCCATGATGGAGCCAAAGAGGAGGAAGGTGGCAGCAGCAGAGAAGTTCTTGATGCCGCGTTTGTGGCACTCTGCCACCAGGTTCCAGGTGTGGTTATTCCAGATGACACCGATGAGGAAGAGGGCCAGGGCTGGCACACCGATGGCGGCTAGCCCGTAGATGTAGTTGCGGGCAGGGGAGCAGGGGCAGTTGAAGGCGACGACCGAGAAGAGCTCCTCGCTGCCTACCGTGCCCAGGGCCACCAGACCATTGAAGATCATCACGTCTTTGCTCTTGAAGAACAAGGAGAGGAAGCGGAAGTTCTCGGCGATGAGGGCAGCCATCTTGTCCTGGGGGCACGAGGAGGTGTGTACTGCAGCGGGGGCCCGTGCTGGCCCACCTTCCAACACCAAGGGACACACAGATGGGGCGTGAAATGGCCTTGGGCCAGCTGACGTGCAAGGGGCTGCTCCAGGAGCGCGATGCCTTCACTGCTGTCCCTTCCTCCTGCCTCTGGAGCTGGTTGCTGGCACCAGGGATACTTCAAAAGGGGCTGAAGAGGGATTCAGTCTAAGCAGTGAGGGAGATCTCGGTCATTTCAGTTTCCCACTAAACTCTCCAAAAGTGTTTCTGCAGCGAAGATTACCAACGGGACAGCTGTTTCTGCCCTGTCATTTGCATGTTTGTTGTCTTTCCTTCTCTTTGGTTTTAGTCACCTCCCGCAGAGCCAATTACTGTCAGCGTCGCTGCCGGACACTTGATGATCTCTCAGGCCTGCAACGAAGTAGGACGCCGTGTTACTGGGGAAACTGGACCCGAGCACTGGTGCTGGGATGCGTCCCCAGCCCTGCCGCTGACTCACGCTTAGCCCAGGTGTACATGGCATGTGTGTGCCGGTGCTGCACTGCCTTGAAGGTGCTGTGTGTGGCTTTTACCTCCCTCCTTTGGCCTGATGAGTTAATATTTAGTAACAGGCAAAGGTATGTCAGGGAAGCAGCAAGAGATGCTGCGAGATGGCCCAGCAGGTTTGGGGGCAGGGAGATGGAGAGGACCAGGCAGGAGCAGCCTCCACTGACAGGGCTGAGGGGGTGATCAGGGCCTGTTGCAATCAGCAAGAGAAGATAATTCCTGGGAAAGCAGAGCTTATCTTGATGACCCAGGATACAAGCACCAAATGCTGATAGAGCTGTCACCAATTATGCAGGAGTTTTTGTTAGGAGTGGGTGTGGCAGGATGATCTCCTTCTCTCCCACAGCTGGTTGACATACCCACAGTCCCTGTGCTGGCCTGTAGTCCTGGCTTAGCCTCTAACCGCTGGCCTGAAACTGAGCCCCTCAACCTGCACACCTCCATGCCAGAGATGCACTTCACTGCCCTTCACCTGTGCGGCTTCTCCGGCCCCTTCTACCAGCATGACACTGGTTTTACTGGGATGCCCACCCCACTGGCAGAGCTGGCCCTTGGCTGCGCAGACCGCAGGCACTCGGGACCAAGTTGGGGAAAGCATGTGCCCTGCTGTTTTTGAAGGACAGGGAAATAACTGTGGAGTGTATCCATGCCCTCCGCAGCGATGCCCATTCCCCCCTGCCACTTGCAAGCTGCATTTAAATAATTTTGTAGTTGCCTTTCCATCTGTGCTGTAGCCTTACAGGGTTTCACCTCGGGAAGCCCCAAGCGCCTTGCTAGCTCTGGCCTCAGGGGAACTGCTCTCCCCGGGCTTTGCTGGAGACAAGAAGGACCTGGGTGCCCGCCTAACCGTTCCTGCCAGCTTGCACCGTGCTGGCAGCATCAGCGCACACCCGGGGACCCCGCGAAAGGCTACGGGGACATTTGTGCAGCGGAGACAGAGGTGCCTTAATCCTTATGGTCTCTTGTACAAGGCTTGCTCATGCACTGTGCTTTAAATCACTCCTGTGCCTCGGTTCATCTGCTGCCCCACCAAGTCCTGTTTTACCCCCTTCCTCCATGAGGCAGTGGAGAGGAAGGGGGGCAGAAATTTGGACTCGGTTCCCTGCTGTGCCTGACCCATGGCAACCCCTTTAAAGTCACGCGTGATAGCTCCGAGTTCAAACACAAACTGCCTTAATGTCTTCCTGCATCTTCCTAGTTTGCCACGTGCAAAGCTCCCTCGGCAAAGGAGACAGATGGGTTGAGATCTGCAGTGCCGTGACGGGGACCAGGCCCCCAGCTCCGGCTGCAGAGCTTGGGGGTACCGGCCAGACGCTGAGCCTGCAAACTTGTTCCAGTGCGTGGAGTTCAAAACCCTGCTACCAGAGCTACCAGCGAGTAGCCCGGATAAACAAGGCCCTGCGGCCTTCCCGACTGTGCCTGGCAACCGGCAAAGCGAAAAGCAGAGGAGCTGGCAGGGGGGAGTGTGCCATTTTGGGGGAGTTACCCTTCCTCTGCCTGGGGGTTACAGTGCGTGTCCAGGGGGCGTAGAAGGGGAAAAGGTCTTTGTAGCAGATCTGTTTTTAGCAGCCGCATGAAAGCAAGAAAAAAATGAAGTCACTTACTTGAGAAGTTGTTGAAACCAGTTCTGGATCTTTCTCGGCTCCCCGTGTGGTTTTTGCCTGGGCTCTGGCTGTGGGGGGCTCCTGGCAGCACGGGGCTGTGCAGGAGTGGGGATGTGGTGGAGGCCAGGCTGATGGGCGAAGCGAAAGCTGATTAAAAACAGCAGTAAGAGTTTGTCAGCTTCCTTTTTCAGTCTGCAACGTGCCCTCGGCAGTCGGCTTTGGGGAGGAGGGAGGAGGGTGTTCGCGGGCCCTGCGCTTGGGTGGGGCAAAGAGCAGGCGCTTGGCTTCTGCGGGGCGCAAGGCTGAGGTTGTGCCTTTAAAAAGAAAAAAAAAAAGGGGGGGGGAAGGAAATGCTGAGAATGAGTCACTGGAAAAAACACATAGTCCTTTTTCAGACCCACGATGCAGCTGTGCAAAGGCTGGCTGGGACGGTTTGCCTGGAGGACGGGAGCAATGGGGTGCCTTGCCGGGGTGCACAGGGAAAATGCTGGAGCCCCCCAGCCTGGGGGTTGGCCGCAGCCCCCGTGGTCCCCAGGGGATGCAGTCGTGCATGGGAAAAGCCCTTGGCCCACGTGGAGGGGTACGAACTGCTGCTTTTGTGCATGGGAGCCGCTGAGCCAGCGGGGAAGACGCCAGCCTGGCTAGGTTTTGGGGAGAAGCAGGAACCCGCCGTCGCAAGCTCTGCGGGGCGGCCAGGGTCTTCTTCCCGCTGCCTGGGACGGAGCGGCGAGGCTGCTGTGAGGGGCGGTGGGGCTGAGCGGGGCCGGGAGCAGCCTGCGATTTGGCGAGCGCAGTGCGTTCCTGCTTAGCTCGGCTTTTCCGCGGAGCGATGCCTGCGAGGCAGCCGAGGACGCCTCGCTTTCTCCTTGAGTCGCTTCCTGCTCTCTGCCATCTGTCCCTCAGCTCCAGCTCCCGCCCAGCCTGTTGCAGAGGCCGGAGGCCTTCATCTTCCTTCCCCCATCTTCCTCGTCACCACGTCCCCGGGCTTAAACTCAGCCCTCCCCAGAGGATATCTTCAGCACAGACAAATATTCAGCAACACCCACGTTCCCCTCTGCACGGAGCACAGCTGGGCTCAGCCCAGCGTTGGCAGTTCAACCGGGATTTCTGGACCGAGTCTTCTTTCTTACCCCCAGATCTGGGGTCCCTGGGTGGGTTTTTTTGGGGTTCCCGGGTGTCTGGGTGCAGTGCACGCCTTGGCACTCGCACACCTCCGTGCCCGCTGGCTTGGCTGGGGGTCCTGGGGCTTGCTCCACGCGCGGGGGGCTGCTGCGAACCAGGCTCAGTGCCAGGACCCCAGCCCGGCTGAAATCGCAGGGACACGTCGGGTTCCGTAGCGAGGGGTCCCCTCCTGAAGGTGATGAATGATGTCCCCAAAGTCCAGCACAGAGAGGACATCATGCCTGCTCTGTGGGGACTCTCTGCAACTGCTGAAATTGCTGCATGAGCTCTGATCCTAAAAATCTAAATTAAAGTGCAAAAGCTTCTCTTTGCAAATGCACACTGGTTTTTCGGTATCTCCGTGGAGCCCGCCAGCCCTGCGTGCTGCTCGCAGCTGTGGGGCTCAGCGTGCCTTTCTCGGTGAGCCATTGGCAGTGCTGAACTGCAAATAATAGGAGTGGAGACCGCCTTTATCTTTTAATCTCCTTTGCTTTGTAAATCAGGTTTTGTGCCTATTAATTTCTGGGCAGGTGCCTTAATTAAAGTTTGGGGTGTGAAGATTAATGATAAATCTGTGTCATGCTCCTTTCTCCTGGGAGTCAGCCAGATTCTACCTGCCCTTGACTACTGGTTTGCTAAGGCTCTCTCACAGCAGCTCGGAGAATTTCCTTGTCATTTTGGTCCTTTGTTCTCCTCTCCCCACAGCCTCTGTGGAGTTACACACCGATAATTAAGGTTTATGCAAATGACAGTCACCTCATTTGCCAGCCAGCCAGAAGAAGGTGGTTTGAACAAGAATGTGGCAGCAGCAATTTCAAGGGGATGAGCATTTCAGAAGGGATGTGGCAGGGTTAAAACTAATCTCTCAAAAGGGGTTTTCCTTCTGTCTATTGGTAATAAAATCAGGGCCACTGGGGAACATGCTTCCGGGCTGCGATTTCCATAGCCACCTTGAGGGCTTGCATCGCGTCATCCTCAGTTTCTATGGAAATGGTCAGCCACCTGGTATTGCGTAGGGTTAGTGGTGCCTCCCAGGCTTCTCCTCCGAGGGCCAGGGCTGGCTCACCGCTGGCCACCACACATGGCAGAACTCCCTGACCGGTGCAGCCTCAGCACCTCGGGCTTGGCCCGGGGCTGCCCCAGTTCTTTTTATTGTGTTCAAATAAAAGAAATGTCAACAGCTTTTGTAAATAGCTCTTAGAAATCCTTGTGCCTGAGCACAGAGCTTGAACAGTAAGCCCGAATTATTTATTTCGCTCCTCAAACAAACACCGAGGCGGGGTTTTAACATCAATCTTTGTGTCAGGGAGGAATCCAGGTAAAATTGCAAGAACAGACTGTCCTGCAGCAGATTCGTGGCAAGGGGTTGGCCTTGCCCCCACCCTCTGTGGTGCTGAGTGATCCCTGCTCTCCGTGTCTAGACACCGCTTCAAGGAGCATCTCTGTGGGCTCCTCGTTGAATAGTACCCGTTACAGCCAACCACGCCATTCCCGTCACCTATAATGCAATATGGGATGCCCCTTCACTAGCTTATTGCTTGGGTAAAATTTATTTTAAAACTTCTCGTGGGCTGGAAGCTGTGTGTATCTGTGGGGATGTAGTGTGGACAGGGGAATGGGAAGATTTGGTGTTTCATGGCTTGGCGTGAGAACGGGGCCCCCCAGCTTGGTTCCCCATGAGGTGATTTGTAATACTGCCTGCACCCATGCGTGCTCCCCAGCGCTGAGCACATGATAAAAGAAGGGTGGTGGTGTCTGCCTCACCAACCGCCACGACACAAACCTGGTGGCTGGTGGCCTGGGACACACGGCGCGTCTGTCCGGCTGCCCCATCGCGCCCTTCAGCATCCCTGGGGCTTGTCCGCCATGGCCTCGGAGAGCTGCCCTGCTCGGCACAAAACTCCTTGCCTGAATTTCCAGCGCAGTAGGATTGGATGTGGGACCAGATGGGATCACACCGGGACTGTCGAGCCCTTTGGGTGCCCGTCCCCTTGCAGCCCCTGTGGCGCTGGCCCTCAGCCCTGCCCGGCTCAGACGCCCGCCTGTTCGCCCTCTCCGCAGCCCCTCTCCTGAGAGCCCGGCTCTGCCTCGGCGTAGCCCTGTGTCCCCTCACACCCAGCTGTAGTAGGCAGCCACCTCCTTTCGGGGCGCAGGGGGCTGTGTGGGGGGCTGCCCTTCCCCTGCCCACCCGTTGCCACTGGGGAGGGCAGGCGGGGGGAGCTGCAGCGGGGGGCCGCACCGGGGGCACCC